AAGCCAGGGCCAGCAGGCAGGAGCCCACCTGTGCCAGGGATGCTGAGCCTCCCGCCCAGGCAGCCGAAGGTGCCGCTAACACTGCTGGCCGGGTCCCGGGGCAGGCCCAGGAGCTGCTGGGAGCCCAGGCTGGCGCTGCGCACATGCAGGAGGTGGGCATCTCGGGCCAGGTCTCCAGGGTAAGTGCCGGGGGGCAGGACCCCCAACAGGTCGGCCGGGTCTGGCAGGCCTGGCCCAGAGCCAGTGGTGCTGGAGCTGTAGACCTTGATCTTGAGGCTGGGCAGGGGGTCCAGCAGGGGTGAGTTGGTCATGGGGATCTTGTCGGCCGAGTCCTGCAGGGCGTACACAGGCCCACGGTAGAGGCCGGCGCTGGCGGTCAGGTCAGGGGGCACAGATGGGTGGAGGAGCTGTGGGTTGTCTGTGGGGAGGGGTCTCTAGTCAGACCCAGCTGTGCCTACCCCCATCCCCACCCCACCCAGGCCCAGACCCCACCCTCTGCAGCTCTTCAGAGCCACCCCCTGCAGGAAGCTTTGGGGGATGCCCCCCGCCCAGCTACAGCCTCCCTTGCCTGCATTTCTCCAATCTGCATACGTGGCGGTCTCTGGTGGGTGATGGGATGAAGCCCGGCTGTAGGCCGGCCGCCCCTCTTCTCCCAGCACCCCCACTGCCACCCCAGGTGCCCACAGAGCTTACTGGGCCTCACAGTCTTGAAGTTGACTGGGTGGAAGCCACCGGTGAGGGCGGCAGAGGAGTCTGTGATGTCGGTGTCGAAGTCGCGGCAGCTCCGGCGGTACACGACCACGCCCACCACCAGGAGGACCACCACGACCACGAGGACGGACACCACGAGGCCCGCGTAGAGCGCCACGTCCCCAGAGGGCTCCAGGACTGCAGGGACAGGAGGGAGAGGGGAGAGGCAAACCTCTCAGGGAGCTGGTGCATGCTGGGGGTGGGGAGGCACCCGGCCCTGCCACAGAGCACTAGCACAGAAGGGAAGGTGCTGAGGCAGGCTGTCCTCTCAGAGCTGGATTTAAACCTACGGAAGCTCATTCCCAGCCTGCAGCAATTTCCACAGCCCCCCCCCCCTTCCCAGAAATCTTTCCCACCTTCCATTCCATGGTCTAGGGGTGAGGGGGGGTAGCGTGGGATGAGTGGAATGAGGTGCATGACAATGGGGACAGAAGGGAGGAGGGGGTGGGCGAGGATAGGGCTCCCACAACTCAGGTAGGCTGCTCGGGAGGACCCTGCATAGGTGACAAAGGACAGTGTGGGTGTGATGGAGAGAGAGTCTGGCCAGCACCGCAGGCACCAGGCAAGCAGCTGCCGGGATGGAAGAACTGACACCCTAAGTCCACTTGGCTTTGAATCATTAAACAGCCACATGGGGTAGGTGGCTTCTACTTGGGATGGCTCAGCCAGCCAGCAGGACCACCCTCCCGGCTTCTTTTGGGAGCTCCAGGAGGTACCTGTCCACTCCCACCTCCTTATCGACACCCTCCTTCCCTGCCTGGGCCCCTCCAGGCTCCCTCCCTCGCCCACACTGGGGCCTGGTTTACGACCTGGCCTGGACCCCTCGGGCTACCCCTTAGGGCAGTGGCCAGAGAAGGCTCCTCAGGGCTGGGCGCTCTCATCTCCCCTCCACCTCAGAGGCCACTTGCCGGATGATGTACAGCCTGAGTTAGCCACCCGCCTGGACACCCCACCCCCAGCCCTCAGGGAGGAGGCTGGAGGGCTCCCTGCTGCTTTAATGATCACACAATTATGCAGACGTTGTGGTTTAATTACTACAGGCCAGTCTGCTGACTTGGCTCCACCACTCTGCTGGGGTTATCACAGGCAGCACAGCCCCTCCGGGCCTGACGAGGAGCCGCTGGTGGGACATGGGACCTGGGGCAGTGGGGGCGCTGACCATCAGCCTCAGCTGCTGAGGCCCAGGGCGGGTGGTCAGGGGTGGCTGGACCCCTCTATCCCAGACAGGAAAGAGCACCAGCTGCGGCCCCCAAATATTGGGTTCAATTCTGTCTGCTACTTGCTAGGCACGTAAATCCCCTTGGCCTCTCTGAGACTCGGTTTCCCCTCCTGTAAGAGGGGTCAAGATGATGCCCAAAGGTGCCCCAGCCAGGGGTCTGTCTGAATGGGACATAAGGAGGGGGTATGCATGAACTTCCCTGAGTACCAGGGGCCCCATGGGGGCTGGTTATCACAGGGGTGCCCTGGGCTCTCCCTGCCCCACAGTCTGGAGAAGCCCACCAAGGAGGAGCAGGGGTCCCACAGAGAGAATGGCCACGAAATGAGACTTACGGTGGCTTTTGGGGTCGCTTAGCGGTTTCTTATCTGTCGGGGAAACAAACGGGGAGACAGTGACACAGGTGATGGACAGAGCAGGTGACAGGGACACAGTGCAGGGGTGATGGCTCTGACGTCCCTTCCCAGAGGCCCGCCCGGCCCCTCCCGGGACTCACTCTGCACGCACAGCCCGTCCGTGCAGTTCCTGGAGTCCAGCAGCGTCCCGCTGCAGTCCTGGCCTCCGTTCTGGGGAGGGGGTGCCGTGCACTCGCGGCTGCGCCAGTGGGCACACTCGGTGCTGCAGGCTGACCACTTACTCCACTGGGTCCACGCCCCGTCCACTGCAGGAACCACGGCCGGGGCAGAAGGATGTGGTCACACGCCGACGCAGGGCAGAAAAGACCCCATCACATCACCACCGCCGCCGTGCCAGCGCAGGGTCCCACAGCCAGATGGCGCAAGGCAGAGGAGCAGATGGGACACACAGAGGGAGGTGGGATGAAGAGAGGGAGAGAGGAGAGTAATTCAGGTCCCGGCCCACAGCCAAGGCGCCTGCCCGGTCCTGGGCCGGACGACAGGCTCCCCCTGGGCCTGGGCGGCTGTGGAGCAGCCAAGCACATGCTCAGAGGAGGGACAGGAGGAGAGCTTGGCTCTCTGAGCCGTTGCCTGTCTCATCAATTGCCCAAGGCTGGCCTTGGGTAGGGGCCCAGGCAGAGTAAAGGGTCAGAGGTCACAGCAATCAGTCTGGCCTGGACAGCCACCTGGGGCCCTGGTTGATAAGGAAAGAATGGCCATCCTGGCTGACCAACTCCAGGGACCTGGGCATTGCCACCTGGCTGACAGGCTTACCGGGGCACACGGTGGTGCAGGCAGTCTTCTGGAAGGCCTGGCCCTCACAGAAGGCACCTCCATTGAGCGGGGCGGGGTTGGTGCAGGTCCGCGTGCGCTTCTGCCAGCCTCGGCCGCAGCGGTTGGAGCAGGGTGACCACTCTGCCCAGCTGGACCAGCCGCCATTCACTGCAGAGGCAACGGGTAGCTGTCACTGGCTGGCCACGACTGGGACCTTTCTTGCCCACCTCTAGCTCCACCCTCTCCTCTGATGAGCCCTCACTCCAGCCTGGCACTTACTCAGGGGAACTGACCGGAGAGGGCACTGACTGCCCCCCCCCCCTTGGCCTGGGGGGACAGGCTGTCTGTGACTTACAGGGGCTGGACAGGGACAGCAACACACCACACTCATCTCTAGTGTGGCTCTGCCCAGAGGACCCCAGAGGACAGCAGCAAGAGCCTACAGGCCAGGGAAGCTTGGCACACTGTAAGGACAACAGGGGCATGGGGTTCCTGCCAGGGCCTGCCTCTTCCAACTGCAGGAAGAGAAGATTTCCCCTTCAGAGGTAGGCAAGGTGCCGAAAGAAGGGGCAGGGCTGCGGGCTAGGGCCCCAGAGGACCTGGCTTGACCACTGTGTGACCTTGGGCAAGTCAGCTTCCCTCCCTGACCCTCAGCTTGGCCAGCTGTTCAACAGGTGCCGTGCCATCTAGGGCAGGGCTAGGTGTGCCCTCCAGCCCCAGGCCTGCCCCCTGGCCCTCACCGTAGACATTGACTGTGGCGGTGGTGCTGCGGCGCTTGGCCACCATGTTCTTGGCCACGCAGGTGTAGTTGGCCGTGTCGGAGAGGCGGGCCTGGCGGATGATGAGGTTGTGGTCGATGGTGAGCAGGAAGTTGGGGTCCTGGCTGGGGTCGATGACGTCTTCATTCTTGAGCCATTCCACCTGCAGGAGTGGGGTTGGGGGCACTGTGAGGGCCCACTCCTGCTCACCAGAACTCCCGGGGAGAGGGCCCACTAAGGAGGGCAGGGGGCAGCGTGACCAAAAGGAGCAGCGACCATAGCCACCCACAGTGACACGGCAAGGCAGAGCAGGGCACACTGGCCGCACGCAGCACCACGGGCCGGCCGTGCCATTTGGGGAAGGGACTTAGCCACTCCACCCCTCGGTCTTGTCCCGTGAAAGGGGCAGCTGTGTGGGAGCCGTGTGCAGCGCAGACGGGCCTGGCTCGGGTCAGGCCTCCAGAAGCATCAGTCAGTGACCCACGCCTTTCTCCTGAACCTTTCAGGCCGACTCCGGCAGGCCAGGTAACAGCCTGATCATGAAGGGTTCCAGGAAGGATTCCAACCGCCAACTTGCCACTTACTAGCTGTGCTGAGAGGCCGTGTCACCTGTCCCAGCGCTCTCGTCCTAGCTGCCTGGCGGGCTGCGGTGGGACCCGTGTGAGGACAGAGGCCATGACTGTACAGACTGCCTGTCTGAGCCCACTTCCCAGATGAGGGAAGCTAGGTCGCTGTTAGCACAACGTCCCTGGGTCTTGTCGGACAGGGCTGCTCCCACGCTGGGCCCTGGGTTCTACCCTCGGCCCTGCTTTATGCGGGCCCTATGCCTGTTTCTGTTCTTGGACCCCCAATGCAGGGCAGAGGTGGGAGGGGGTCCGTGGGTGGGGTGAGGCCATGCATGTTACCAGGCTTCCACAGAGTGGAGGCCCTTGCTTTGGCCTGTGCCCCTGAGGGGACCTGATGTGCACCGGGCTCTGCCAGCTCGGTGCCCTGACCCTTCTTGCTCTCCCTGCCTGGGGAAAGAGGAGGTTGTGGCTGGAGCAGACAGCAGGTCCACCTGGCTGCCTCCTGTCCAGCAGCAGTCCCCACGTCCATCCCAATCACCTCAGCCACAGGCACCCCCTCCGGCGGGCGGCACTGCAGGAGCACCTCGTGGTCCAGGAGCACCTCTGTACCCAGAGGTTCCTGGTCAAAGTTCTTGCGCAGGTCTGGGAGAAAGGGGAGAGGGGTGTGTGTGAGGCAGGGTGACAAGCTCCTTGCTGGCCACTAGGCGGCAGCACGCACCAAGGGAACAGATCATGGGGACCCGACCCCCTTATCCTTTATCTGAGAATTTCTCTCTAAAGATGTCACCAGGTGGAGTTGGGGGGAACAGGGCTCCCTCGCTGACAGAGTGGCCCAGGACGGATGAAAAAGTGAGCATGTTGCTTAAGTGCAAGTAGGCTCAGGAATCCTGGGGTCAGAGATCTCTGGTGATCTTAAGACCGGGCTGGTCCAGGAAGCTGGCTCCCATAGAGGTGGAAGCCATTCTCCAGGACCCCAGGGGAGAGGGGGCCCTGGAGGGCTGGGGGACGTACAGGCAATGCGGACATAGGCCCGGCGGCTCTTGGTGGTGCCCGCAGAGCTCCAGGCCACGCACTGGCACCAGTAATCCTCCAGCCCAAACAGCTCCTCCACCTGCTGCCGGGACACCTCGATCTGCACCTCTCGCAGCCGCAGGCCTGGGGGCAGGAGAGAGATGGCCGGTCAGGGTGGCCCGGGCACAGGCTGCACAACTCGCTCCCACCGCCGTCCCCGAGATCCCAGGTCCCCGCTGACCCCTCTCCCAGCTCATCTCCACTGCCACCACCAGCGGGGCCACCTCCGCTCACTCAGACAGGGTAATGGCTTCCTGTGCCAAGCGCCCGGCCTCTCCAGCCCTTGAGCCAGTGTGCTTCTGAAAATGCACCTCCCGTGGGGCACAACCCCCACCCCGTGCTCCACCCCAGTGCTTCCCGGACTACAGCCTCGTGAGATTCAGCCCCTGAGTAGCTGGGATCTTGCACCCCTTTCGTGGCCCCCCGGGGGCTGCCCTGGTCACCTCCTGTCATCACGTTACTTGTCAGGTCCCTCTAGTCTCACGCAGCCCCTCACTCTCCAGCCCCTCTCTACCCAGTGCACTCTGGTAGCCCTTCGGCTCTTAGTGGGGCCCCTCTTGATGTGGGTGCCTACCCTGACCCTGCCTTCACTCAGGGCTGCTCCTCTGTGCCTGACACTTCTGACACATCACTGTCACTCCCCGCTGGGGCTCCTTCTCCATGAGGTGGGGCTCTGTCCTGCTCATTGCCTGGTGCAGGGGTGAGGCCAGTCTCCTCCAACCTCTGGAGGGGTGTCCCCTGAATAAATGGGCCCCCAGACTCTCCTAACCCTCTGTCTCTAGAAAGTGCTTTCCCCTCCACATAGGAGAGACCCCCCCCCACCCCGGATTCAGGCACCCATCTCTGGAAGCTCCTCTCTAGAGCTTGTGGGAGGAGGCCTCAGCCTCCTCCTCCAGGAAGCTTTCTTTGAATGCCAGATAGCCTGTCTCAGCACCTGTAAGGCTGTCGTTCCTGCGCACCATGGCTTGTCCCCTCTTGTCCAGTGAGGGCCCTGGAGGGCAGAACTGTGGACCAGGTGTGCTGAGCTGCTGGACCAGTGTGAACCCAGCCTCCCACTTGTCCTCGAACCCTCTAGGTCTCAACCCGTCCTCACACTAAACACTCAGGTGAACTCCACGTCAAACACGCCGTTACCCTGCGGCTACACCCAGCGGAGGCCCGGCCCAGGACGACCTCAGCAGGCCATAGGGACTAGGAGAAGGGGCAGCCCAGGCAGGCCCACAGCAAGTGCCCAGCAGAGCTGAGGTCAGCTCTCTGGTGTGTTCCTAGGTCACCACTCTGAACTCTCACCCACCAGGCCTCTCTGTACCTCTCTGGGTGAGCCCACTGCTGTGGCCCGCCTGCCCTGCACACCCAGGCCAGGCGGTGGCCAGGACTCTCAACTGGGCGCTGGAGTTGCTTCCTGGTGGCGACTCCGCCCACTCTGAGGGTGGGGCTGCCGGCAGGGGCAGGCCAGGAGTGGAACCCCTACCTCATCTCTAGGCTGTGGCCTAGCCAGGTCGGTTCTTGCAAGTGGCTTCCCCATCAAAGGGACTTTAGCAGAACCCCGTGGGGGGTACAGTGCAAGGCCACCACCCAGGGAGGCTGACACAGGAATGCAGCAAGATGCTCAGAGGGGGGCCCACCACCTGGGGTCTAGCTTGAGAGACCCATGCCTACCCCCCTGGGCCCTGGTTGTGTCCAGGTCCCCAGAAAGTGCACGCAGGCCTGGGGGTGGAGTAGGGCCAGCCTGGCCCTCTGCTGCTGAGGGAGCGGCCTGCAGGACCATTGTCCATGATTTGCAGCAAACAGGGACAACGGTGCCCCAATTTCTTCAGCTGCCAGGGACTGCGTGCCGGCCACGGCCGTGTCTGAGTCATGCTGTCACCATGATCAATAACTGCCAGGTTGAGAGAGCCCCCGCAGGGCACACTGCCCCTTTGCTCTGCCTGGACGGCAGTCCGGCTGGGACTCAGGAAAATCCAGAAAGCAGCGGGCAGCGGCCGGGTAGAGTGCATCTCCTCTGCCACCCCCCCAGGGCTTCTGCCAACATATCCTGGTTCACAAACCAAGGAACTGGGTTCAGAGAGGGAGAGTGACTCCCCTAAGGTGGCACAGCCAGGGAGAGGGGGCAGCTGGGGTTTGGTGTAAAGCCCACCGAGTTCTGAAAGCTGGGCACCCCCCCCCCCACAAGTTCAGGTCTGGGCCTGAAGGGCAAGGGAGGGTCCGAGTAAGCTGTGAAGTGTTCACATCAAAATGGAGAGAAGGAAACGATGAAGTCAGGGTGGGAAGGGGTACAGAGTGAGGGGCAGAGACTACAAGGACGGAGCTGGAGAGACGAGGGGCACAGAGTGTATGTGGAAGGAAAGGGCAGAGGGGGAAGGCTGCTGGAATGTGCTCCCCACCACCCCCCACTGGAGCGCTCTCTCTGCTGGCCCTGTAAGTGACAGTAACAGGGAGTCCCACTTCTGGACCTCAGCCCTGGTAAAGGCTTTTTACCCCTTGGGGCTCCTGCCCTGTAGACAGGTCACTCCCCGAGCCCGGCTCTGCCTCCATCCCCAGGGCCCTAAAGCTCCACATACATCCTTTGAAAAGCAGGGGGCTTCAACCATTTGTGGGCTGCACTGTATGCCCCCCCAAATAAGTCCTCTGCCCGTGGCTATAAAGGAGCTGGGTAATCTCCATCACATCTATGAGGCAGGTGGCTGAGGCCCGAGAACCTGGCTTCAGAGCCAACAGAGAGAAGTGGTCTCCTCTGCCGGGACCTGGACCTGAACCTGTGGCTCCTACAGGTGAGAACTACAGGTGCTTGCTCCAGCCCTGCCACTGCCGGAGTTGGGTCAGAGCAGGCTCAGAGCCGCCTGCCCCATCGCTCCTTCCCAGCCACCAAGCGGCTCCCTCTGGACCCTGCTCCTGTCCTAGCACCGGCGTCTACTCGACTGTAAGTCATTTTGTTGGAAACCTATACCAAGGCAGTCCTATACACACAGAACCGTACAAATAACCCCAGTGCTGCGTCCTGGTCAGGGGACACCTGGTGGGGGCAGGGGGTTCTGCCCAGGGAGCCGAGCAGGGGTGGGGAGGGTTGGGCTAGCCCTGGCTCCTGGTCTAAGCAGAGGGGCTGAAGGCAAAGGGGGAGGACTAAGAATCCAGCCAGGGGTTTCATGTCCTTTCCTGCAGCACCACATGGTCAGCTGGCACCAGGCCGGGCCTGGGATGGGGCCGGGCTCGGGACTCCTTGGTGGCGCGGGGCCTGAGAATGCTCACCGGTGGCCTCGTCCAGACCCTCGTGGGTGACGTGGTCATTCTGGCTGACCCACTCGCCATTGCACTTGAAGTAGATCTGTGTGGCCGGGAAGGCATGACATCGCAGGGCCACGGGCTTGTTCTTCACGATGTAGGCATCCTGCGGCTCCTGCAGGAAGTGGGGCAGCGGCTCCGCAGGCGCCGACGGGAAGGAGTCTGGGAGCACCTCGCTGCCTGAGTCAGAGCCTGCGGGAGACAGGGCTCCATGAGGGCTGGGCTGCAGGCCTGCCACTCCCGGGCCTCCGCACCGCTCCAGGATGCCTGGGGGCTCTGCGTCTTCAGAGAGGGAGACATTCGGACAGCCCAGAGAGGTGAGGCCACCTGTTAGTCGGCAAGAACACCCCACAGGCCTGCCCTCCCCAGTATCCCTGCTTCGGCCCCAGCCAGCCTGGCTCTAGCTTCCCAGGGTGCTGCTGCAGCTGGTGGGGCGTGGGGAGCCTGCCAAGGAGGCTAAGGCCGGAACTCGGCCATCTCAGGCCCAAGCCACACTGCCCTTTGCAGCTCCAGCCAGGGCAGATGGACAGAGTCCAGTCCACCTGGAGGGCGTGGAGTGCGGGTGGATGGCAGCTGCACCAGGCCTGGGTTCTGAGGCCCCCGGCTGCCCTCAGGGAGGGCCCAGGAAGCAGCGGAGGGTGGAGATCATCTTCCTCATGGCTTCCCCAGAGGGTCCCAAGCCCGATCTGAGGCCCTGTTCCACTCCTGGCCTCTTCTCACCTGCAGAAGCTCGGGGCACAGGGAGGCGCTGGGCGGCGGCCCCTCCCCCTCCCTCTGCTAAAACAAATCAAAATCCAAAGAAAATAGTCCATCGGGTAGGTTCATTTTGAGCAGTGAATCTGAGCATGCAGGGAGACCACGTTGTTTCAAAAGGCGAGTGTCTCAGAGTAGGCGAGTTTTAATTGCAGGAGGGGAAAAAGTGCTGGATTAGCTCAAAACAATAACACAATCTTTGGTTGCTCTGTGATATAATAATCAATTTGCAAATTGGGCAGGGGGTCAGGGAGAGTGCTCTACTGGCAAGAAAACCAAACGCAAGACTCCCGAGGACTGGAGCTTTCACAGAAGCTGAACCGGGATGGGGGCTCCCCGGCGGCACTGACGGCTAAGCATTCGGTGTCTAGCGGCTGGTGCGAAGACCCACGCAGGCTTGAGGAAGGCCAAGCCGGAAGGGTGCTGCGGAGAGGCCACAGGCAAGACGGGGGTTCTACTGGCACGCGGGCCATGCCTTCCACCAGCCACATCAAATCCGGCATCTACGGTCCCATGGTGACAAGGTTCTCCAGGGGCGGCGGCACTGAAGAGGTGGTTGACAGAACATCTGGCCTTCTGCATATTTGTACCTTGCTCCTTAGAAGGGAGTCCCCCACTTCTCTGGAGAGGGCACTGTGCTTGGCCAAGGAGAGGGGCAGCCAAAAAGAGGGAGGCCCTCGACAAGGCGGACTGACCCAGAGACCCCCACAGCGGGCCGAAGGGCAGGAACAATCGTGAGGATGGAGCAGGACCGTCCTCTCCTGGGACAGGACACTGTGGTCGGAGGTGACTCGCCGGCACCTCGCCACGACGGACTCAGTTCTACCTCGGAGCCCCCCAACACGTCCGTGACAGAAGCGGTTTACATCCGGAGAGGATGCATTTGTTATTGACCGTGTGTGTGCACGCGTGCGCGGGCAGTAAGCATCACTACATTTTTATAAACAACAGCGCAGATCAATAGTGTTCTGGAATGTGGGCCAGGGTCTCAGGTGGAATCCTGGGAGAGAGAGAGAGCCCTTGAAGTAAAAGTTAAGATGTCTGTTTATTCATGTTCCAACAGAGTGCAGGGTCTGCGAGCCTCCCCGCAGAGAACTACCCCGCCCCCCTCAGTGGCGAGACAACAGGAAAGGGTGGGTGGAAACCAGGCCGGGCCGGGTCGCACAGTCCACTTAGGAAAATTGGCTTTCCGATGCCTGGGTAGGGGGCAGCTGGGGACAAGCAATGGGTGCTCAGCCTCCTCTGCCAACTGCTGCAGAGGGGACAGGGAATTAAGTTGCGGGGGGGTGGGGTGGGGTGTGTGTGTGTGTGTGTTGGCCCAGCCCTTCCCATCAGACTCCATCCCCTAAACATGAGGTGGGGCTCTTGGGGGTGTCCCTGTGGGCAGAGGGGCAAACATGCCCCAAAGGCCCGAGCACACCCTGACTTTCTCTCTGCTGGTCAGTGGCCAGAGCAGGACTGGGATGGCCGTGAGCACCGAAGGCCAAGCCGGGTCCTCAGTGGCCCGGGGTTCTGGGGAAGCAGAGAGGTGGCTGTGGATCCAGCTGCAGGGCCCTGGGGTCCTTAACTCTGTCTGAGAGCCCTTTACTCCGAGCCTTGAAGCGTCATCTCAGAAGGGGGCTGGAGGTGGCCACCTTCCCACTCTCAGAATATTCTGAAGGTTGGGTGTGCTAGACGAGCAGGGACTGCTAGGATGGGAGCAGGCACATTGTAAGCACATCTTTGCTGCATCAAAATCAAAATGAGTATTTGACACACATTAGGTGCTAGGTTTCCAATGTTTAGAGTAGCTAGCTTTTGCCAGGTTATTTCCTGAAAAGTACGTTATACTACTGTCCCATTTTTTATGTGGGCAAGCTAAGGCTCAGAGAGGATAAGCAACTTGCCCAAGGTCACAGCATTACCGAGAGGTAGAGCTAACGCTTCAGCTCAAGAAACACTGTGATTTTGGGAAACTCCACACTGCTCCCCGCACTGCAAGTGTCCCCACACCTCAGAACCCGAACAGCACCAGGCCACAGGTGGTGACCCCACTTTAGAGGGCCTGTGGCACCAGGTGGCAGCAAGGTGGGGATGGGCCTTCTCCTTTCAAAGCCCAAGACCATCCACATGGGACAGGGGGCTGGGTGGGTGTGCAGCCACATGCCCTGCCTCGCAGTGGGGCAAGCAAGTTCTCTGTGGCCAGATCAGCAGGCCCCTCGGGTCTGGGAGCTTGGGGAGCTGGTGGGGACTTGATCCCAGCCCAGAGGGCTGGACAATGGTCTTCCAGTGACCTGCAAGCTGGTTGCTTGTGCCCACCGAGATGGGCAGCTCTGGGGAGAGTAGAGTGGAGTCTGGAGGGTTTCCAGGCCTATCTGTCCCCGACCAGCGTCACACACTCTTGGGCACAGGTCTCAGGGATTGCATCTGTGGCATGGAAGGACCCTGCAAGGGTTCATGAGAGGCCAACGCATGCTGCTACACATGCAAGAGACATGTGTCCTCCTACCTCCTGGCAGAACCCTGCCCAACCCAAGGAAGCCGCCCAGCTGCGCACGCCACTGCCGGCTGAGTTTTGTGACTTTCAAGGTCAGTGATGGCAGCCCTCAGTTTGGCTTGCACCTCGACACAACGAAAACAAACATCCTCACAACTAGACCGCTAAGCCACGGCGTGACCAGCGGAGAAAAGACCGAAGCTGCTGAGATTCCACCTCGCTTGGGTCCACACTCGGGGCTCCACAGACGCGGCAGTCACGCCAGCAAGCCTCGTATTGCAGGGGGCACATCCGCAGCAAAAGAGCTCTTCAGGGGGTCCTGAAGCAAAGCTGTCCCTCCGAGGATGGTGTGCCTGACCCCACACCTTGGTCTTTCCTAAGCTCCTCACACGCATGCCAAAGCTGGACGATGAACAAGAAAGGCCCAAGAACGGACACTTCTGAATGGTGGCATCCATGCGGAGCGTTTAAATATACCAAAGACTGCCGGGAAGACGAACACACCTCTCTCGGGAGAGGTCCTGCCAGTCTGCTCCTTAGACACGAGGATGGTGAGGCTTTATCTCATGTTCTTTGCACATGGTGCCAGGAGAGACCGATCCCTGCAGAAAGAAACCATGAAAAAGAAGAAGCCCCCACCCCCATGCAGTGGCGGTCAAGGGCATACACCTGAAGCTGTGGGGAGGACCCAGGGCCGGGGTGGTCCCGTGTCGTACATCATGTGGCTGAGAGCAGGAACCAGCTGGGCAGCAGCAAATGCTAACAAGTGGCTCGTGCACAGAGCACGCGCAGATGCACGCGGGGTGCTGGCTGCAGATATCCTGAGTGCAGCAGGGCTGCCATCTGCAGCCCCGAAGCCCCTCTCATGGTGCCCCACACCTCCTGTTGGCTGGCCCAGGTGGGCATCGGACCCTTTGGGGCCTCCCCACTGGGGCTGACTGGGTGGCTCTTGTGCCAGCAGCCTTACTCCCTGGAGGCGGATGCTGCTAGCGGATGAGGAAGGAAAACAGCGGGCAGAACTAAGATTTCGCCCTAGAGGGGCCACGGGGTAGACTCTGGCTGGTTGGCACGCAGTAGATGCTCAGTAAGGAGGAATGATGTGTGTGTGCGCGTTGGGGGTTGGGCCCCCTGCTTAGCCACTTGAATGCTCCCAAGCTTCTCTCGGCCCTGGCTTTGGCCTGATGGTGGACAGAGGCTCGGTGCGATTGAGAACCACCAAGTGCCAGGGCTCCTGGGGGGTAACGCTGCCAGGCACCCTTCAGAAAGCGTTTCACATGAACTCAACTCCACACCAGCGGTCTCCAAACGTGTACGGTCCCCCGAGTCTGCAGAGGGGCCCTAGTGGCACAAAGGCTAAAGGGCTCAGCTGCTAACCAAAAGGTCAGGACGGGAAGCCACCAGCAGCACCACGGGTGCCCCCTGGAGAGGGCCTCTGTGGTCCTGCAGGGCCATCCTGGGTCGGAGTAACAGCAGCAGCGGTGTATCAACCATTTTTCCTTGGCACTCAAGGCCAAAACACATCTTTAGTGATCCTGTTTATTTAGTATGAGGTCTAAACAACTTAGTACCCATATCCTAACAGCCTACTAGCTTGCAAGAATATATGTACATAGATTAAAAGGAAAAATACTATTTTAATTTCCCTCCTAAATAAGCACCATTACTTACTACTGGGATGGATGGACCTGCCGGGCCCTGCTCCACGCTGTTGTCCCTGTGAACGCTTGGCCCTCAGCTCTGCAGAGACTCGGTGTTCCCTAAGCACAGGAGCCCGGAGTCACGGCACGGGACTACAGAGCCCTGGAGCTGCAGCGGGCTGTCACCCACAGGGTCAGCAGCTGCTCCATGGGGAATGATGAGGTTTCTTTATGTGCACTCCCATAAAGACTGGCCGCCTGGCAAACCCACAGAGGCAGCTCAGCTCTGACCCCCGGGGCCCCTCGGAGCGGGGACGGGCTCGATGGCAGGGAGTTTGGCTTGGCTTTTGATTGATGAAGCAGTGGGGCTTCTCGGGCTAGTAGTTTGGAGGTGTTTGCAAAGGTCAGAGGAGAAGCGGATATTAAGGGGTTTGTTCAGTGGCCAGTGGGGCCCAGGGCAA